TATATATATAAAATATATATATATATAATATATTATATGTATTAAGAATATATAAAATATATCCTATATTAAATATATTTATAAAAAATTCATTTATACATATTTTTATATATATACACATATACATTCATAGGTGTCCTCATATATTATATTATATTAAGGTAATTATAATTTTATACTTTGTTATATTAAAATATATATACGTTGTTGTATAATTAAAACATAATATAGGACAATTATATATAAATATATCATATATAAATATATATATATACATATAGATGCATTTAATGTCATTATTTTTAATACATATACATTTTAATACAATATTAATAAAATTTCTATTCTTTGCAATACAGACAAATCGGATAAATATAGACATATTAAATATATATATCATAAATGGTTCATTATTTATATTTATATAAAAGAATATCATTAAACATATATAATTAAAAACATATATATATATAAAGCATTATATACATATAACACATATACACATGTTTAGGAAATATAATATATATCATTATATATATATCATATATATATATATATACATTTCTTTACAATATATATATATATGGTATATATAAATTTTATTTATATTATAAATGGTTATTTTTATAGACATACATACATACACAATATATGATAATAAATAGGTATATAGACATCATTACATACACAATAAATAAATATATATATTAAGAGACAAATTTATATGGAAATATAAATAATACACATTTATATTTTTATATAATATATAGAAGATTACACAAACATAGAATATATTTAAATGATACTATATTTTGCTATTGGAATAAATTATATAAAATAATATAAAAAATATAAAATATATTTATATCAATATATAGAAATAGAATAAGACATTATATAGACAAAATAAATATATCTTGACAAAATGAATAATATGAAAATATATTCATTTCATATATAAGACATATAAATACAATTTATGACCGCTTTATATATACATAATTTAGACATATATATATACACATTATACAATATATTCATCAAAATAAAATATAACAAATATAGACATATATATATATTATAATTATATATATATATAGATACCATATAAATAAAGCATATATTAATATATATAACACATAAAATATATATATAATAAAATATATATATATATATATATATATATATATATATACGTATACATATATATATATATATAATAATACATACACCATAATATATATATATATATATATATATATATATATAAACTCATATATATATATATATAGAAATGGACAAGGTATACAATTTATTTATTAAAGACATTTTTTTATGTTTAACGTTGTTATTTTATAGATACAAGTATTTAAGCAAATGCTCTGTTTATGATAAATAGTATTAAATAACATTTACCGGCCTGAATGTCCGAGAAATTTTCATAGAAAATATTCGTTCTTTGACAGGATTCGAACCTGCATCCTATACGGAACCGTCATATACGCTGACGTGCCTTACCTCTGGGCCTACAAAGAACCTTATCGGTAGACAAGGTCGAATTTACTGCTTATAAACTCCAATTTTCCATGAATCTCGTACATTCATAACTGCTCTGGTGTATCGAATGTAAACAAATGACGTCATATATTAAGAAATGGACAAGGTCCGACAATTTATTTATTAAAGACATTTTTTTTATGTTTAACGTTAGAAAATTTATTTTATAGATACAAGTATTTAAGCAAATGCTCTGTTTATGATATACCAATAAACAGTATTTGGCCTGAATGTGTAAGAAATCGTAGAAAATATTCGTTCCATAGGATGCAGGATATGAAAGAACGAAAATTTCTATAAAAACGGACATTCACATAAATGTTATTATACTGTTTATCATAAACAGAGCATTTGCTTATGAACTTGTATCTATGAAACAACAACGTTAAACATAAAATATGTCTTTAATAATATATATATTATACATATTTCAATACATACATATATATATACATATATCTAATACATACATATATATATATATACATATATCGAATACATACATACATATATATATATACATATATATATACATACATACATATATATATATACATATATACACATACATACATATATATACACATATATATATACATACATACTTATATATACACATATATATACATACATATTATATATACACATATATACATACATATATATATTTATATATATACATAATTATATATACACACATATATATACATATACATACTTATATATATACATATATATACATACATAAAATATATATATATATACATACATATATATTTATTCATATATATACATATATATATACGATATATATATATATATATATATATATATATATATATATATATATATATATATATATATATATATATATATATATATATATATATACATACATATATATAAATACATACATACATACATACAAATTATACAAATATATATATATATAATGGAGTATTAAAAAGACTTCACATTCAACCCACATCAAAAAATCTGACCAAATCAGAATGGCTGAGTAGCAAATATTTAAGATATTTTAAAAACTTATATTTTGACATCTTTCAAACAATGAATTAATATTATTAGAAAAATAATTTTATTGATCAAAAACAAAATCATGTTTTGTCATGCTAATGCAGATTTGTTCTTGTAAAATAATTTTTTTCTTTTAATGTTGTTTCATTAGCAAAACATGCTGAAGTTGAAAATGTCAAAATTGTCTTACATATATATTGTTACACACACACACTCACACATATATATATAGATATATATAGATATAGATAGATAGATAGATAGATAGATAGATAGATAGATATAGATATAATATATATGGAGAAAAAATATATAAAAATTTTTATAAACCAGAATAAAGTTATGATTTGTAGATCTTAGATTATCAGTGTGGGATGCATTAATAACAAAAGCAATACAAGTATACACAATAAGAAAACAATACTAAATTAAACTGGCTAGTCTATATATCCCAAAAGCATATTAAAAAAAATTTAATTTAAAAGTCTAAAATTTCAGTTTCCCATCTCCCTTATGTACATGTGTATTTATATTGACATAAAGATCACTCTAGTCCAATGAAATCTTAAAGGACAAAATGTTCCACAAGAAAATTTTTTAGTTTGTCATGATATATATATATATATATATATATATATATATATATATATATATATTTATTTGGATAGATGTGAGTTTGTGACCCTGGGTTTTTTAGCGATCGTCAGACTTTTCACATATATATATATATATATATATATATATATATTCCTTTTCTTACATATTTAAGTATTCTATCTTAAATACATTTAAAAGCACCTTTTAAAGTACATAATACATAACTCTTTTTATTAAGTTATATATATGACATTAAAGCATAACAATGCTATTTATAATGCAATTAAATATTAAGAAAACTACTTCTTGTTTGTTACTTTTAATATTATTTTCAAATAACTTTCTCTTTTATGTCTTCAAATTGTCTGATATTTAAGATATTTATTAATGTTGTTGCTTTTTTAATGCTTTACTTAATTTATTTCTGTCTTTGACACAAATTTCTTAATGCCTGGTTTAAATTTTATATTTTATATCATATTTGATTTTAATTAACTTTATATAATTTACATTGTTCTTATATTTTCCTTTTTATATTTATGTCAATATCTTTTTTTATAATTTCACGGTATATATTAAATTTCTTATTTTTTCCCCATTTTATATTCATAGAGCATTAAGCATTGTATACACATATGAATATGTGCACACAGACACACATGCATACATTTATATATATATGTATATATATATGTATGTATATATATATATATATGATATAATGAAGTATAATTTTATATATCAATAAACAGTATTTAGAAAAATAGTATAAAAAATTGGAAAAAAGTTTTTGTGATGTGTCTGAAATCCTAAGAGATGAAGTGCATCACAAAAACCGTTTTCCAATTTGTCATACTATTTGTATATTATAGATCGAAAATCATGACCTGTTGTATAGATACTAAAAAGTTCCTTTTGAGTTCATATGAAGTGGGAAGTGTATATTTCATTTAATCCCACCAATACATTTCAAATACACTTGATTTCCCCTCCACCTCACTTTCTATTACACCTCACATTGTTCACTTATTCATCTATTTATTTTAAAAAATACAGTATTCTTAAATTTTTTATTAAAAATAAAATAAAATAAAGCATTAGTAAATCAATTGACCGAAATCGCCTGAAGATACCAAAAGTTTGAACCCAAGGTAGCAGAATTTAGCTGATCTTCTAATTTATATATATATATATAGTTTACACAGATAGTTTAAACAGACTATATATATATTTTTATATATATATATATATATATATATATATATATATATATATATATATTCTGTGTAAGCTAGTATTAGTTACAATATTCAATTTCTAGTTTTCTATGTTTTACTTATCTACTGTATATAGCTTTTCTTTTTTTGTGTGTATATATATATATATATATATATATATATATATATATATATATACAGACATTTAAGGGTGAGAGATGGACAGTAAGATATGCATATGAATATATAAATGCTGTAAATGAAAATAAGTTTTGTAAATAATTAAAATTAAAGCAAAACAGGCAAGACTAATCCCTGAATAAAAAAGTATGTGAGTTTTAATTTTTATCAGTCTTATTTTTATCTGTGCTATTTGCTAACGGCCATATAATGATATAAGGATGGCCTGAAAGTTTGTGATAAAATCAAATGAATTTAAGATCACTGAAATACTTGTCAAAATTATTAATAACGGCCAATGATTCATCTATTAATAAATTTAACATAATATTACTAAAGTATTTACTTTAGTAATTTTTCCTCTAACTATTGATATTTATTTTGTTTATTTTATTTTTCTCACTTGTTTAGTGCCAAATAACAGATATGGATTTGGAATGAACCTTGTGCACAGCCGTCTGCACCCACCCATGCACTCAATGAAAGCTGCTGTTGAAGTAGAACAAAGGAGAGTTCCAGTTGCCAAAAACCGATTTGTTGCCAAGACAAGAATGGCCCTCAGAAGGCCTGTGCCCAGACTCAATATAATGCGCAGCCCAAGACGGAGGGTATTTGCCCCAATTGGAAACCAGCGCATTAAAAATAAGACCAGATATCAAGTAGAAAAGGACTCTGCACTTGCTCAAGTGCGGCGTGTTGGCAGATTTGGTTTCTTCCCTCGCCAGATGTACCCTATTAATGCCACCCCTAACAGAGAGAGAATGCGTGAAATGAATTCTGCTCTGCACATGAGAAGAGCCCGATGGAGGAGACGTGAGTCAAGATCAGCTAAGAATTTTTGGGAGGAGAAAAAACACTGAGTGGATATCAGCTCTTCTTGATTTGAAATTGAAATTTGTAAGTGAATTATTTTTCACAAATTTTTTTTGATATTTAGTTCAATTTTAAAATTTTGATAGGAACTGAATCTGACCCATGGATTGAACTTGCAATCACTATGTCACAAATACTTTAATTCATGAGGCTATTTTTCTATAGGGCATTTTATAGTCATGGAACATGCAAGGAGCTTATTCATTCATTAACTTAAGAATTATTATTTGTCAGAAAATTCAAATAGGAAGACCATGAAATTTTCACAGATACTTCTAGAATCCTTACTATTTTCTTTGTTATGTATTTAAACTTCTAGAAATACTTGAGCATTTCACAATATGATTTTAAACACTAAATCATTAATTACCTTGTTTTTGATTTCAAGTCTGTGATATTTCTTTTATTTATCTTTCCAGTTATTGAACTTGGCATTTCCACCACTTTTGTCATATCAACATAAAAAGAGCTGTTGTGGAGGATGAAAAATACAAACAACAAAAGCTAATATGCCATCAAAGAAAAAACATTTCCACTTAATCGGAAGTTATTTTTTTATATAGTAATTACATATAAAAGATGAAAAAAAGCGTGTCAGGATTTTTTTGTTTTACTAAGAGAAAACAATGGTTGGTCTGATGATTTTTGACAGATGGTAACTTGAGGATGAATAGCAAATAAGTATCTCTTTCCAAGTCAGTTTTTCTTTGTCCTTTTTATTTCTTTGCCAAAGCTTATTTGTTGTTTTACTAGTTTTACATAACAATGTGAGGCAGATATACATTCAATTCTATTTTTCAATCTTTTTCTCATTCCTATAGTTATCAAGTGTCTATCAATTGTAGATAAAGTATATTTTTTTTAATTTACTCATCTTTGTTCTATTTTTACTTTTAGAAGATAATGCACATGATCTCATACACATATATGTAGACACATTTTTGCATGCACACATACACACACACATGTCAGTGGATTAAATTCCATACCTTGATGATGAAGGTTAAAGTAATGTACACAATTCGTGTTAGTTCTTGTTAAGGTTCAATGTTTTCAATTGACTTCAGTCATTTTCATGAAAGAAAGAAATTAAATGAAATTCTAAGTTCATGTAACTTGGGAATAATTTTAAATTTTGAGATTTGAATGTTTATTTTTAAGTTCTCAAACTCTGTGGTGTCATATGATCATATCTTAGTGGGAATTCTGAAACTTAAATACATTTTAGAACTCCAGAATCATAAGTGATTTTTTCTTATTTTGGCTTAATATGAATAGTTTCTAAAATTTGGAATATTTTTTTATTTTTATTTTTTAGTATTATTGTGCTAGACACATCGAACTGTCTTCTATTATTGTAATTTATATGTTTCTGTATCATGTGTGGCTATATAGCACTTTGATCAGAATTATAACATGTGAGTCCATGAGAAAGTTGTCATTATATATGCTATATAAGCTGTTAATTTTTGTTATTTTCAGTGATACAGTCTCCAATAGAGCAAGTGAATTTTGTAAACAAGATTGGTCTTATATCAGAGATTTGCTATATAAATGTGGCATTATTCATGATGACTAAGTGTTTAAAATTTTTTAAATATATATATAATATGAATTATAATAATTAACTTTAATATAAGTATACATGCAAAGGGGTGCTAAAAGTTCATAGCTAAACTCATTTTCTAAAATCTCACCAAATGACCAAACATGATTCTTTATCAGGTCAAGAACATTTCAGTATTTATATATATTTATATATATATATATATATATATATATATATATATATATATATATAGTGGCAATAGTTTATACACAATTGTCAGGCCAAACAATTGCATATAAGCATGAAACAGACTGTTATCGACTGGGTGTTAAGTCCAATGTCCACTTTTATATTTACATATGCTCTATCCCTGATATTCTGCACTTTAACCCATGAATATAGCATACCTTAAAACTATATTTTATCATATATATTACACAAAATCTACACTAAGGTGAGCACACTGATATACTCATATTTAGTATTGATTTGAATACAAAGTCCTACTTGTGACCCTACACCAATTGATTGAAAATAAAAAAAATCAAATTTCAACTCCAATTTTAGCAGTCATGAACTGAGCCTTGTATATTAAACATTTGGTCACACAATTTGATTTTATTAAACTAGAAAGGCCAAGAGTGGATGAAGGATTTTTTTTATGAGAATGAAAAAAAAATTTAAATTAATTTTTAACAGCAATAAATATGATTGCTATTTTTTGATGATTAATATATAATCTCAGATTTAAAATAAAAACAAAGATGAGTAGATTAGTCCGAATGCTTTCTTATGAATCTTTTGTCTAATTTTTAATTAAATGATAATATCAAATCAAACTCTTCACCAAGTTCCTTGTCTATCTAAATCATTTTAACTGACTATATAAGGTTTTGATGGATGATTCACCTGTTGTAACTCTTGCACTAAGTACTTACTCTCATCTCAAAATTTAGTTGTCCTTTCGAAATAAACATAGATGTCCAAAATATATATCAAAACATTTCTAATCATATTGCAGAGTAATAACCTTTCAAAAAATATTGAGAATTCTTAACAAATTCTCCATTTTTTATTACCTAATGTTTCTAATCATTGATATTATATCACTAAAATCAAGGCAATATACTTGACCATAAATATAGATGGGTAGACAACGAGAAAATGTTATTGTGCTTTTATATATATATATATATATATATATATATATATATATATATAAACACACACAAATATATATATATGCACAAATATGCATACATGCACACATACAGTTTTATGATACATGTAGATATATTTACAAGAAACTTCATATATATATATATATATGTATATATATATATATATATATAATACTAGTAATATTTTTGGCACAATTACACACAAGGCAAGTGTATGCATATATATAATATATATATATTATTTTATGAATATCTTTAAGTATATTCAGATACACATGTATGCATATATGTTTATGTATGCATGCATATATATTTGCTTTTTATTTGGTATGTAGTCATATTTATGTTTGTGTATATATATATATTTTCATTCACTTTCATGCACACAAACATATATATATTGGCACTTGAGACACACAAATACACATGTGTACCTGTGTACTTACATGTGTGTATTTCTGTTTGAATATATGCAACATGTATCATGAAATTTAGATTATCAAAACTCATTTGATGTAGAATTTTATAAATGATTTATTTTACTTGAAAAAAAATAACTGATGCTCTTCAGAAATTTTGAGAAAATTACTTTTATTGCTATATGATGTAATCTAAAAAAAAAAAATTGCAACAAAAAAAAAAAAAATTATATTAGCTAAGTTTACCTGCATGCTAAGGAAAATACCCCAATCATTTATTGACAATAGAAGCTTAGGAATTGAAATCAAATATAACATAAAATAGTTAATTATTATCACTTATACAAAATTTAAATACACACACACACATATATTATATATATATATATATATATATATATATATATATATATATATATATATATATGTGTGTGTGTGTGTGTGTGTGTGTGTGTATTTAGGCAGCAAATTCTCTTTATATATCTGATTAAATAAATTACAAATATTATGTCCACTTATTTTTAGCATGAACCTTTTATATTCATTATATTCATGAATATGAAAGGATTATGCTAAAAATAACCAGACATAATGTTTGTAATGTATTTAATCAAACACACACACACACATATATATATATATATATATATATATATATGGGAAAGAACAAAATTTTTAACAGATCTATTATCACATTGTGGGTTATTTAATAACAAAAGTGATGGAAACAAACAAAAAGGAAAAGAAAATGAAATCATCTAGATTATATATCTAAAACATATATTAAATTTAAAATTAAAAAATAAATTTAAAGTTCTCAACATTCTCTTTTTCTTCATGTGCATGCGTCATCACATCAATGTTTAAAATAAATTTAGTCTGATAGAGTCCTAAAAGACGAAATATGTCACATGAAAACTTTTTTCCATTTTGTCATATTTCTTTTTTACCCTAAATTGTTCTTGATTTTTAAAAATTATATATTGTTTTCCCTTATATATATATATATATATATATATATATATATATATATATATATTTATATATATATATATATATATATATATATATACACACACACACACACATACATACATACATATAGCTATGATAGGAAAAAAACCATCTAAAATAACAAAGAAATAATTAAATTTAAAATGTCACTAATGAATAAGAAAAAAATCAGTTTAACAACTGAAAGATTAAACATGTTAAATGAAAGTATTATGGTTACCACTTCACATCAACAAAAAAAAAAAAATAAAACTTGTTCTCTCCATGTCAACTTCTAAGAAATGAATATAAATTTTTCATTGAAAGTGAATGACAATTCAATTTAGACTGAATTAATATTTTTCTATCATTAATATTTTAGAGTTTAGGTCTAATGTTGATTAATGCACTTTCAAATTTTAAAAGACATTTTGTTTCAGAAAAGTTCCTGAATTTCTCCTCTTTTGATTTTGTACATTAATCACCAATAAAAAAAAATGTTGCAACTCAATTTCTTTCAGTTGTCTATTATTTTATTATTTTTGTTGTTGCTATTCACTTATTTTCCCCACTGAAAATACTGGTTCTTGTTTGATTATTGAAGTCTGCCAGTGTCAAGCCCAGTCAGGACTTAGGCAATTGCTTGGGAACACCAGGTGCTGTAAGCAACCTCCTACAATACAAAGTATGTTTCGGTTTTAAATAATCCACAAAGGACTGATAAATAGTAAAAAAAAAAAAAACAATCAATCACTTATTTTCAAGATACAGATTTATCTGAATATAAGTCTCTAAATTTTGTATATGAAACACAGGAGAGATGAAAGAAGAGAATGGATTCACATTTGAGTGATGTCTGCTGGGGAAACCTTTGTGACATAACTAGTAAAGTGCTGATACGACTGACTTTGAAAGAGAGAAGATATGAGATCAAATTTTACCAGAGGCTTATGTTTCATTTTCAATTCATTGTGGCATATTTAACAGTCATAGATAGAATAATGATTTCATAATTGCGATAACAAACAACAGATTTAAGACTAAAGAAATAATAGGCAAAAATTAATAATAATGTTACACCATAGTTGAAATTTTTTTTGCGGAGAGGTAAGGAGAAACGTTTATAGAATATGTTGTCAAGCTTCTTTTGTAGCAGGACTGACTGCTTATTTCTTAGATTATAAACAATATACAATGCCCTTGCCCTACTGAGATATGGGTGAAAATTATATATAAGATGCTCAAAGACTCAAATGGACATCTCTACAAGTAATACAGAAGGAAGCTAGAGTTAGACCTGGTGCCTGATGTGTCCCTAAAAATAAAAAATGCCAAGGTAGCTT